TTGCCATGTAAGAATTAAAGATATGCAGTGTGGCAACTCAAATAATTCACAGACACTGGATATTATTATTAATGAATGAACTGCTGTATGAAAACCTATCCACATAAAACTTGCAACCACCGAGCACACCAAACCAATAGGTGCGAGATTGAAATACCCAAAATCACTAGTAATTAACTTTGTTATATTAATACAAGAAAAAATAATTTTATACAGTATTGTAATAATGGTAAACAAAATAATTTTATTAATTGCAGTTCTATGAGACAAACAGTGGTGTATTAAGGTATTCGAAATGGAGGGAGCCCAGGGTAAGACTTTCCCAGATGGGGGTCTAGAAAATTTATGATTAAGGCACCTCTAGATGACCGGAAACGGCCCCCCTGACTTAATTTTGAATATAATTATCCATTTTTCTCCATTTTTTGTACAAATTTTGAAAAATTTAGGGGAACCCAAGCTTCCCCCCCCCCCGCACCTTTGAATCTGCCACTGTCAAATACGAGCACAATATTCCAATCATAAATACCACCATTAAATTTTCAAAACACCAATATACAATGATAAATCAGAGATAGTGAAAATTACTAATGTTGCTTTATAGCATTAATTTCATTTTGAGAAAGGTATTTCAGTGTATTTATATTATAATATAGCTTATTAAATTGTTGAAAATGTACAAAAGCAATCAGTAATTAAAACTCTTTTTAGCTTAAAAAAATTAAATCACTTAACAGCTGGTGGACAATTGAAAGTTGAATTGGGTAAAATGTTATACCTTTGTATGCTCCTCACACATAATTTGGGAGTTTACTACCATCATAAAATTATATTGTAAATCTTAAATTTTGATGGTAGCGTTGTTGATTTATCTGAAATTTTTATACACCTGTTTTAAAAGATGGGAATTATTGAGAGCTGATCTTTAGAAAAATACTTGTTTTTCACTCAGAGCCACTACAGGTCCCACCTCTCTGTGCTAGAGCTTGGCAATAGTGGTTCAAGAGTGCGACTATTCCAGTTTGACCATCAACAACTTATCAGTTATAATTTGATAGCCATCTCCCAACCAAGCGTTTTTTTGAAATCCTACATCTACAACTACAAGAATTTAAAGCCTATACATTCCATATAAAAACTGTTTTACACTTGCTAACTTCAAAAGAATTAACATTTCAAAAAGGCATTCAAGCATAATGCTGAAAGAAATTAAATTTATTTATTAAATTTGATTGATGAAACACCATTTACAAAGCAAATGTTGGTGGAACATTGCAGTGAATTCTGCTTGTTCTTATTCCTTGATTTAGAAAAAAAAAGTTGTAATATCGTTTCTTTTTTTAATACTATGAATTTCCTCCTAATATGCTCATCTGGAAAAAAAAAACCATTTAAAGATATACTGTCTGTCATTGGCAGACAGTGCATCTTTATGAATACCAGAATCTATGGTTTTGTAAATGAATAAACCTTCTTGAGATGAGTTGTACAATTCAAACACTGTATCACTAATTAAGTCTGTATATAATTGATAAATACTTATAATACTTTATATACGGTAATTCATTTTGTTTCAAATGTTACAGAATACTTACAGCTACTGAACTCTTTAAAAATGTCCATTGCCTATATTACCATATTGCACTAACTACTCTTATAAATACTTACCAAATATTAGCACTAGTCTTTTTTTTTGGACAATCTATTTTGTGACACACTTAAGCAGTAAAATGTTTGTTTCATATTTCCTAAATAACATAAATGTTTAGGCCATACCTACACTGAATGCAATAAATATTACTGTACTGCTAGAAATATCAATAAATTAGTTTAATTTACTGTGTTTTATCAGATTTATAAAATTTTGAATATAATATATCAAAATCCTTAAGCTACTGTTAAACTAGTAAAATTGTATTTTCCAAATGATCCTAAATATCTATGTTTCCTATACTTTTTTTTCAATGATTTACTGATTAGGCCAAAAAAAAATTAATTGCTGGTTTGACGTCCCCACACTCATTATACTTTACAGCCTTCTGAAAAAAACTACTATTTGCTATATTTTTAAAATAACAATCACTTTCCATGGAAAATAAATATAATGATGATCTGATAGTTGTTGCCAATGCCTTAAGAAGAAGTGGAAACATATAATGGCAGAATGCATTACAAATTCATTTTAGGCCAAGTTAAAATAAAAAGTAGTTTCTCGTCCTAATATTTTGAAAAAAGGGAGAATCGGCATTTTTCTTCTTTTTTTTACTCCAAGATGGCAAATCCAAGATGGTTGATGGGAAACAGTTACTACTTTCTCACTTTTACCAAGTAGACACATTGAAAGCAAATAAAAGAAGCACTAGACATGATTCATACTGCACCATATGTATCCCAAACCACGAACGATCGAGAGAAGAATTTTACTGATGTCAGTTAGCCAGATTTTTGTGCATTTTGTAAAAGAAGGAAAATAATAATAAAAAAAACCAAAAAAATTGGTGAGGCTGAGAAAGTGGATGCGCGAGGGGACGAGAAACTAGTATTTTTTTTTTATTTGGCCTTACTTCTTTTATGAAAAAAGACCATAAAATTATTTTTGCTTACCACTAGTATATAGGAAACTTAATAGCATTAGTAAATATCCTCATCAAAAAATAATTTCAAATCCCGGACGAGAAAAAAATGTAATTTTATTTGACCTTAATACTAGCACAGTGATTTCTTAATCATATTTATTGTTCCAATTTTTCACAATAACCATCCTATTCAAATTTTTACAACTAATTTATTGCCTGGCACACGCTATATCCGGCCGTCAGCCAACAAATTTGTACGCACTTTATGCGAGCTCTGCTGATTAAGTATTTCTCAAAGCATTTAGTGTCTGTTGCATGCACTGTACAATTATCGTAATCAAAAATTTAATTAAAATGAATTAGCACAACATAACAGGTGTCTATAAAAGTAGAAGTAGTAGTGCAATGCACTACATTATATGGCAAAACAAAATTGTTATGCTGCCCAAACACACTGGCATTGCGAAATCAGTCAGAGGCGTTCCAGAAATTCCCTGACGAGGGTCCCAAGATCCCCCACATGGTGTTCAGCCCCACCATAATTTGGGGCAGATGTGAGCAAGGTTTAAGAAAACCTGAAAATGGTATCCTTGGACTGTGAAAATGCTTTTTTAAAAGTGGTTTTTCTCAATGAAATGATTTCTTCACCAACATAGAGTCTAATGTTCCCCAACTGGGTCTTATGACCCGGGAGGCGGCGCACCATAGACCACCCCTCCCCCGATGCTGCCGCTGCTCAGTGGTATTATTATTTTTGAACATTTAAAAAAATATTTTAGATGGCCTCTCTTTAACAACACAATTTTTGTTTTTGGCTTAATATACTGTAGCGCCCTCTACATTGATCTTATAAATGTAGTGCAAAAATACAACTTTGTCTTGTAACTAACACATAAAACCAATTAAATTCATAATTAAAATTTCTTCATAAAAAGTCAATTTAGTATTCATCCATACAAAATAAAATAAAAATTTCAGTACTAAATAGTCTATATATAGTATTATAACTTTTATATTAATTTAATTGAATACCTTTCATAAATTTGTATGTAAAAACATCGTCAAAGTGTTGATAGAAAACTGAAATGTCATTGATAAAGTTTGAAATATGACAATATGGCAAAGATACATGAACAAGCTTGGATGAATACTACCGTACATACATCCATATAAAATCATTTCCAAAATTAAATTTCTTACTCTATATTTACAATTTTCACTTTTATCATACCAAGACACCATCAAGAACATGACAATTATTGTTTACCATCAAAGTGGATGGTAACGGGAATTCTCTGTTGTGACTTTATTATAAACTCGTGCCGAATCCATCAGGTATGCATCGTCAAGGTAAAGGACATCAGCGTCGATCGTCTGTAAGTCGTTAAACAGCGTGTCATCTTCATCGCGACGTAATTCAATCGTCCATAGTGGACTACGAAAGAAACGCCTTCTGGGCTTAACCCAACAATGGTAAACGAGCAGTACCGCAGCGATGATGAAAATAATGGTAAGTGATAGCACCGCACCAAGAACCACTGCTAGACTTCTTTTTGATGAAATATCAGTGGTAGGTGGAGCGGTGTTTCCTGAGTAGTTTGTTAACGGTTTGGGATTAATTGTCCTTGAATGTGGTGTACTCGAAAGTGAAATCTCCTGCTGTACTCTTGTTGATACACTACTGGTAGGATACGATGTACCAATGGTTGGTGATAATGTTGGTTGTAAAGATGAAGTAACCGTTTTTACTGTTTTAGTGCCAAGTCTTTGCATGGTTGGTGAATTTGTGTCATGTGATATTGATATCGTTTCCTTGGTTACTGTTTCAACCGATGGTTCTAAAAAAAAAAAAGACAAAAATATTTACATTACTGTACTATACACCAATGTTTACAGCTAGGAATAAAGAATTTAGAATAGATAAGTAATAATGTATCAAAAGAAATGTTTTTAAAAGAACTAACAGATTTCAATGTTTTAAAATTGAAAATAGATTAGTTTAATGGTAAAAATGCATTTATTAGAATATCAAAGCTACTTAGAAGAATAAATGCTGGTGAAACAAACAATAGGTTGTTTTAATAATTGCATAAGGCAACAGATGTCAACACAAATCATGCACATACTCTTCTTTAAGTTGGATTTGTAACTAATCTATAAATACTGTATACCATAGCCTTCCCTTCTTTATGCTTAATCATTATTGTTATGGTTTCCCTTGGCAAAAGCCCAAGGTATCATTTGAAGAAGTATCTCAGTTGTCTTATAAATACTCACTGGAAAAAAAGTATTTAGAAATTGCCTTTTGATTGCCATACCTACAAATTGATAGCATATCCCTAGTACATATGCTATGGAAGTGGTTTAGCGCAGCAGGAACATTTTGGTTTCCCGGCCTTGAGGTTAGGGTTTCAATCCCTCCCTGTATATTTCAATTGTGTCCTTGGCCAAGGCACTTATCTGCATTGCTTCTCTCCACCCAAAAGCATAAGTGGGTACCTGGTAGGGTATGCCAAAATGCGCTGATGTACCTGCTGTACTGTCATGGAATACAGGCCTGTAGCCAGGTTCTTCCAAGGGGGGTGTTTTCTGGGCGTGAGGTCCACAGTCGAAGCCCCAGTGGGGTCGGCAAAACCCCCAAAGCAAGAGGATTTTTGTGCTTTATGGGTCTAAATACTGCTATAAAAGCAGATATGTTTGAAAATGTCTGTGTCTGGGTGGGTCTGCAGTGCATTAGTTGGGTTGGAGGACTTATTTGGGAAATTTAAAGAGGGGGTTTCACCAGAAAAGAGAGGGGTTTGCTACAAAAGAGGGGTTCTCCCGAACCATAAAACTCCCCCTGGATACGGGCCTGGAATACTCCATCAGGGAGCATGAGTTTGTGTTCAATAGGCAATTACCGGGGTAATGATACGTGAAGTGCATAGAGGGCTTAACAATATGCGCTATGTAAGTCTACCATTATCATTATTATCATTATTAATTAAAAATGATTACTTTTTTATTTATGAATGGGCTTTTGTGTTCAAGGGGACCTCTGTGTGAAATGTTGATTAAAATTAAAGGTGGGGAGAAGGAGTTGGCTTTAGGAACTACAGTAAACGTATTTAATTCATACAGTACCTTTGTAATTGTACCTGTAATACAAATTTAGCATTCAGCTTGTACACCCAATATGTATGTATGGCAAATACAAAGTAAAAAAAAATATTGAAATTTACAAAACTATTTTCAAAATCTACCCAACTTAATCATTTTTTTAATAGCCCACCGATAATATTGAATACTTAAGTACACCGTGTGTAACTAATACTATACATTAAAGTACAGTACTCCCTTTTCTGTCCTCTTTTTTTAATCTTCCACCAAAAATTGTTTTAATTATCTTTCTCTATTCACTTTCATGGCACTTGCAAATTCCAGCAGACCATTCTAGCATTGACTTTAGCAAAGGAACAAAACATGTTTTTTAAAATCTTTTGGAGAAGATAGTCTCTCAAAAAGGTGTTACAATGCAAACTTTTAGCCTTGAGGTGAGCACTGTCATTCAACTCTCAGATTGATGTCAAACAAATAAACCACCCAGTCACAAAACCTAAAATCCAAAAGTGAATAACTTTGCAGGTACTATATCTCCTACCAAAACAACTGCTAAGAAGATAAACAAAAAAAAAAAAACAACAAAAAAACAGATTGTAACCAGACACAAAGACAAATTAAATGCTAATATTCAGCTATTATAGTATTAGAACCAGTATGAATCTCAGCTGCATTTACAAGATGTACTGCACTAATTCGTTGATTACATATAATACTTTACATTCATCCTTTTCATCATAAAGAGTACGGTAACTTTCACAATAGGCCTATTTGATTCTTGGCAGAAAAAAGCGCTTCTTTCGCAAGTCATTGTATTGGTCCACATGCCTTAATTTTCCTGCAGTGATCAATGCTGGTATACTAGGTGCCCATTCTTTTGGGCGGAGAGAAGCAATGTAAATGAGATGGATAAAACCCCGACCTCAAGATGGGGAAACTAAACCATTCCCGCTGCTGCAAGTGGTTGAAACATAAAATAAACAATAAAAATATTGAATAACATGAATGAGACGTAGACATAGGCCTATTCTCTATCATACAGTAAGTTCCAATACTGAGTTTTTAGTTATTGGTTCATTTGAATTCATACAGTACTTCTTTGAAATGTTTGTTTTCATAAAATGATCATGAAATTTGGTTAAATAAAGTGCAATAAAATACTTACCATTGCAAAGGGAACTGACGGAGGAGCTATTGCAAGGCATACAACGGTCATTAACCTGGTAGTATCCAGGTAAACACAGTTCACAATGATCACCTGTTGTTGAGTGTTGGCAATTAATACAAATACCTAAAAGACAAAGTATGCATTGTGTGTAATAAAATTACATTGTGTCCTAGAGAACTCTCATGTAAGGACTATAGCAGGGACAATAGCCCTACTACATTAACAATAGAAACCCTATTATGTTATATGTTACTAAATGATGATTATTCCACATCACATGGCAAAAAACAGGAACGATAATTAATATTGCTGTATGCATGATGAAGTTTCTAATTAGTGTTCTTTTGCACAGTACTTAAATTAAACATGTTAAAACCATTGAAACCATAATGTTGTGGTTGCACCTAGATTCTTATGTCTCAACCTGCCATGCTCAAGATGGTCTCTGTTCATTTGATGAGCCCAATCACAGTTTTTATATCCGCCCAGGGCCTCCTTAAATACGGCCGACTCAAACAGACCGTTACTTTCGCAGTTAATATTTTGTTGGCTCAGGTTCCACTGTAAATGTTCACACTTCCTCCTTTGAACCGGGTTTTGTGGGTAATGTTGGATGTCAAAATTGACCACTATCAAAGCGACCTTGGCGACCTACAGTAGTATGTGTGAATGTTCGCAGTGAGACCCTAAGCTGACCTAAAGTATTAATTGCAAACGGAACAGTCGTTTTGAGTTGGCAGTAATTAAGGCGGCCCTGTACCTACTTAACAATGTAATGTAGTTTGATTTATATAGCAATTTATACCAAAACGGTCTCAAAGCGCTCGAGGTGTAGATAACTGTGATTGGGCTCTTATAGATAGTGAGGACTAGACTTAGGTTGGAGGAGATTTTATGTTACATCCAACCAATCAGAATTAGGAATTGGTTAAAAACTGAAGTGCAATAATAGCAACTGCCTAAAAATAAATACTGTAAATAAAACCAACCACACACACACACACACCCACCCACACAAAATATAATACAGTATCAGGTAGTCATATACAGTAATCTGAACTTTATAGTTGATGGTCTTATCACAGGTTAGAACCTAAAATCAACACCCAGGGTTACCTATCAATAAGTCACTGATAATTGCAATGGTACCTTACTGGCACTGCATAGAATGAACTTTACTCTGATTAACAAAATGAAAATTACGATTTGACATTTTAACCTTCATTGGGTCATCAGACGCTAGCAATGGTAAGACCAGACTTTTTTTATACCATGTTTAGCAAACCCACTGCCCGCCAATAATGATGATTTTAAATAAAAATTAAATTTTAGTTTTGGCAAATTACCGCACACCAAGAAGACATGTCGGCAAGGGGATACCATATTAGAAGACATGTGGGCGAGGATGATAAAGTATTAATCATCTTTTATTGGGCCTAATATAAATGCTATTTTTTTTACAGAGGTTTTCTACAGACGACAACTGTTCTACAGAAAACCACTAGAATTTCCTTTTCTTAAATGTCTGAACCACTAGTTTTTTTTATAAGCTTTCAGACAGAGGTAGTACATACAGAAAAACCGCTAAAATCATTCTTTCATTCTAACTTCAAAATCACTGACTTTTCTACAGCCTCAGTCCACCACTAACAATACAGTAACCCAGCCTATGGATTCTTGTGGTTTTCATTAAATATCATTTTCTTTCTCATTGAGCCTCATTTGCACATACATGAAAACATACAAAATAGGTATAAACTCCATTCTTAGTAGGTAGGCTAGGTAATGAAAACAAAGGAATTGCTTGTGCTAAGACCACTTTGTATAATCACTTAACTATAAATATCCATATTACAAACAACAATGATTCAACACTTTTCTTATTTAAACATTTCTCAACGTTTACATACTTATCTATGTTTGCTTGTAATATTATGCGTCATCTCCAAGTTTACACAAACATGTTTTATATACTTGCAACAAGTTATAATGAAATATTATCAGTTTCTAGTTAGTAATCACTAAGGCAAGATTATTTTTATTCCTTGTTTCACATACTTTATTTTTTTTAAGATCATCGGAGGAGGGTGGAATAAAAATAAAAATAAAATTTTTTATTTAGCAAATAGTTTTGCCAAAAACATCCAGATGGAGAAGAAAATAAAAATAAAATTTTATTGGTGAATGTAAAATAGGATGGTTAAATGCTTCAAATTTATATAATTAGGAAGAAATATACATATTTTATCTTTGGAGATTTCATGGCAGTGGAGGGCTTAATTAAAATAAAGAAAAACTTCAATTTTTTTTTGGAAATCTCTAATTTTTTTATGGGGGCGGGTGTGCTAATTGGCCCAAAATAAAATTTTATTTTTATTCGAAATCATCAATATTTGCAGTCAGCGGGTTTGCCATTCTCCTGCAGTTTAAATACCGGTACCTTGACAAGCAGTCCTTTTATATAGGTTTTTCATAAATGGGAATGCATATTCAGATTGGAGATTACAATGTGGAAAAAATGTTTAAAATTCATATATTTAAAACTTAAAAGCATAAGTATGTCCTTTTTTAGTGGATTCTCTGGTTTTTTAATAAACCAGTTTTCATTTTTCTTTATCCCCACCTCCATGCCACCATCATTATGTGGTTCTATTTTTAGAAAAAAAATTACAGTATTGTCTGTACTACCTCAAGGTCAAATTTTCTTCCATCATTATCAACTACCAAATAGAATTTTCAAGGTCAAAGAAAAATACTCTTTCTGAAATTACATTTTCATAGTTTCCAGAAAATAATTTACATTTTTTTTTTAAAAAGATGACTATTACATAAATCAATGTATTACTGTATTAATATTGTTTCTTTGGATTAATATCAATTAATATAATAAATAAAACAGACAATTTTTATTGGAAAATGATACAACTGCTTGTTATCACAAATATCATATACTATAATGTGCTACAGGATGTGTAATTAATCTGCATAGTGTAATCTTCAACAAAACACATTGGAAAACCTCTTATAAGGCCAAATAAAAAAAATTTACTAGATTCTCGTCCCTTCACGCATAATTTTTCTCTGCCTCCCCAAATCTGTTCATTTAAAAAATTTCCTTTATTTTACGAAATGTATGTAAATCCGGCTAACACATCAGTAAAATTCCTTATTTGATCGTTCATGGTTGGGGATACATATGGTGCAGTATGAATCATGTCTAGAGCTTCTTTTATTTGCTTTCAATGTGTCTACTTGGTAAAAGTGAGAAAGTAGTAGCTGTTTCCCATCAACCAATTTGGATTTGCCATCTCGATGTCAAAAAAAAAAAAGAAAAGAAAAACAAAAGTGACCTCATTCTCCTTTTTTCAAAATATTAAGATGAGAAACTACTTTTTTTTTTACTTGGCCTAAGGAAAACCCCAGCAGATGACCATAAACAATAAAAGCTATTGGTCTCTCCAATATACAGTAATACACCCTGAACCAATTTTTCTGAAAGTACAGTATAGATGCGACGGCGCTGGATTTCCCTGATGGCAGGGCAACGTCCCCGACAAGCAGGGCAAGAATTGAACTTTGGCACTACGCGCCATCTTATATTTTTTTTTTTATAAATAAGCCACTAGATGCTCATATACTGGGCATCTTGACTTACTGATGGTGTTTTTTGTATCTCATCAGCATCACAACTATCAAGTCACTACAGAGTTTGCGAGTGGGCGGGGGTGGATACTGAGACCGAATAAAAAAGGCCAAGTAAAATTAAATGTAAAAGTTTTCCATCCAGGATTTGAAATTATTTTTTGGTGAGGGTATTTACTATTTAAAAATAGCAAAATATTAAATTTTTTAATGAGGCTCCAAACTTTGATGAGAGTGCAGACCGTGACGTGAAACTGCCAATTAATTTTGGTTGGCCTTAAAGTTCTATTGTGTAAAGAGGAATGGTCTGGTGTTTAAACAATTCAGAAGTACAAGGTTGAGTTTGTCCACCGCGGCCCAACAGATTGGCTCCGACGACAGCTAAAATGGTAGAATTTACCTGGGGTTACTCTACTGTATATGCTGCAATATTTTTAGTGATTCTAAGGGGCTATTAAAATCCTTGATTCGGAGCAATGCTTGTAGAGTAGGAGTTCATCTAGTGCTCATCCAAAATGAGAATTTTTTTTCCTACCATGAAATATTCATGTTTCATTAATCCGGGACACTATAAACATGCATGACTATGTAATAAAAATGTAATGGATATGTTATGTTATGTTATGGATATGTAACATTGATCAGTAATTTTGATTCCTACTGAACAGAGGACTAGAATCTTACTGCATACAGTACATTCATGTCATAGAATACATGGAAAGGAGGAAACACGGCTGCTGCTTGTGTAATCTCACATCTTAATGGCCTTGGTACAGTACTGTAGTGCAGCCTATTATTACAGACTAATATCTAATGTTAATGAGGCAATATTATAATCCAAACAATAATGTAATCACAATCTGCGGTATCACATGATGTTGCTTGTTTTTTTTTGTTTTTTTTTTGTTTAAGTTGGAAATATATCTTTTATTATTTATCATGCCTTTGAGATACTAAGTGTAAATTTAGCTGCAACATGAAAAACCAGAGGATCCACTAATTAGTCTTAAATAAAACAAAAAGACAGTAACTCCGAAAATTTTTGAATCTCAAAATGTCTCTGTCTCTTTTCGGAGTTACTGCCTTTTGTTTTATTAGATGTTACTATACCTATATCAACACGTCATTCATTACACAAGACATAAATTCCTAATACTAGTATGCAATTTTTCTATTCCATATTGGATCATGATCACACTTGTTATCTCTGATAATTATATACTACATTGTATCTGACTGCTAATTGGTTAATTGTGAGACCTTTGCTAAATATGTATGCATTAGCTCTTTTCTATTTTGTTTTCAATTGTTTACTTCACACACCTGATGAAGCTGGCATTGACTGCCAGCGAAAGCTTGTGTTGAATAAATTACATCAAAGTTAGTCTCAGAGTGCTGCCTTTTATAATCTGTGTATATTGGATCATAACAGCAAAAGCATTTCAGCCTATCAATTGCTTGTGGAGCTACAGGACTAGCCTATCTTTATGGCCTGACCTTAGATTATTCTTTCTCACACGAGAAACACCCCTCGAAAAAGTAGAATCAAGCATTTCCATTTGCTGCATGACTACTGCTTTGATTGGAAGAGTAAAAAATTAGGGGTTCAACTACATACCACTTTACAAGGTCAATTATTACTTGGTTCTACTTTCATTAAGGATGATTTAATTAGGAAATGACTAACTAACAGTTCAATAAATCTGTACACAATCAAGTTATTAAAAAACCATTCGAAACCCAGTACAAAAATATTTTTTCCCTTAATTTGTACAAAATACATGAAATCATATCACAAGATCTTGGATGTTTTAGGGATATAATTTTGTAGTCATACAACAGCGACAATCACAGAAGATATATTAATCCATTTGGATCACGCTTTCATTCTTCAAGTTAAACCATGCTTCTATTTGAAATATTTGAATATTTTAACAGTTCATAAAGAAATTATATCCCAGGCCATAGTATAAGCCTAAAACCGGGCATTACTGTGTCATACGACAGTCGTACAACTATTGGCCAATTAATCCAACTTTACTCCCTGGGAGCACTAGATCACACACTGATTCCTGCTGACTATCGGTAGCAGTCTAAATGGATCATTAATATAAAAACAATTTGTTGAATGTGCGTTGTGGCGTTCTCCATAAAAGCGTGTTGGCCGACAATCGTTGGACGCATTGAGTGCCTGGCCTAACAGTTAGTCAGACCATAACGATACTGCACTTGCGTACATCTTTACATACCTGTTCTATTGCACTTCTGTGTTTTGCCATTACACTGGCATTCTTGACAGGTCAAATTAAAATGATAGAATCCATCAGCACACTTGTCACATTTATCGCCAGTTGTGTTACCATGGCAATTACAAACACCATACCTGACGAAGTAGATCATAAATCAGTATTATAATACTAGAAATTGCAAATTGCAAGTGAAGTGCTGCGAAGTACAACTGCATATAAATGTTCTTCGAACAAAATTATTTATGCGAGTCAAGTGAAAATAATGAATAATAAAAATATAACAAATAATATGAGACATGACCCATTGTCTATATTAGAACACTTCTCATTTCGTAAACAAAGTCGTAATTTTTCATTTTTGTCAAAAGTGTCTATAGTGGTGAATTATGGTTTAGGTTTTTTTTAAATAAAGTTTCAAAAATTTCTATGTATGTGGAAAATGTAGTTGATTACCAAAGGTTACAATTTTTATTTTGAAGACTGCATGGTCTAGGAAGTGTACATTTTTTTATGGGGCAAGTACATTTTTTTATGGGGCAAGTTTCCAAGGGCGGGTTTTCTAGGGGCGAGTTGACTGCCAAAGTGCAAGCCAGTGTGTTATTTGATCACAAGTGCAAGACATCGCAAGTGTGAGCCAGCGAGCCATGACGTCACGACAATAGATACGAGACGTTACTTGAGTTGTGCGAGGTATCGGCTGAGATTTGTGGAGTACAATTCAAAAAACAACTATAGGTGTAATAATGAATTATTGTGATGTTAAATAGACAATGTTAGCTATCAAGGAGCGACGTTGTTTTTCATTGGGACTTTCGTCCCTTCAAGGCTAGGCCTATACCATCCTAGCTAGTCTAGGCCTAGAGTAAAATAAGGCTAGCGCGACATGCGGATGTTGGTACGTGTTGGTTAGTCTACAAACGTCGCCTAAAGTAATTGATTTTACCCGGCAGAACGAAAGAAGGAAACTCCGCTTTTCAGTCGTCTTAGGCCCTTGTTTTTTGACAAACAATGACCTTTCAGAGGACAAATTGCTGTCAAGAATATGAATTCGCAGCAATTATCTCCAAAATGTTATTCAATGTATGAAAAGACTATAACAGTTATAAATAAAGTCATTCATCAGTGTTCAAAATATAGTTATTTTTACCATAGAGGCCGTGGAGATCCTTTGGTCCCCGGTTCTATCCCCTTCGCTGCTCTGCTTGACATTTCAGCTGGAGGGCTGAAATGTAAGTTACGATATCGCACTGTCTTTCAGATGGTGTTTAAGCTGTTGGTCCTTTGTGCATTATGGACAATGTGCACGTTAAAGAACGCAGTACACTCTTTGGAAAAGAGTAGGGGATCATCTCCCGGTGTACTGCTCAATCACCACCAGAAGGACCCCACCAGAAATAAGTCTACTTCAGACTCTTGTAGGTTATCCTTGGTGTTTACACCCAATAAATCCATCCACCCAAGAGAAGGGCAGGGTAAAAGATATCAGTGCTTGGGCCTACTTTAAGTGCTTATTCCATCAGATATGGTAGACACACAATGGACTTTTTTGCTAAGCCCCATGCACCTCCTTGGATATTGTTGCTAAGGTCCCAGAACCTTTGTTGTTTGTAGGACTGTCAGGGCTTTGAATTTCTTCGCAATGCTCCATCAGCAAATAGTTGCTGTGAGCTATGGCTTTACTACAGCAATTTATTCTTCTTCTACAGCAACATGCTTCGTAAATATTTTAAGAATAGGCCTATTCTATAAACGAAAATGTATAATCCATTGCTAGGCCCTAGGCCTGGTGACTCGACAGCAAAAAGCTTGCTGTTGAGGGGATTTACAACAGCAGAGGAAGACTCTTTCTACAGAAATTGCTGTCAATGCTGTGGGGAAATTAAAAACACTGACTGTACTGTAGGACACACGCGTATTCCTAGCACTATTCGGATTGATCAATTGCTATGGTTCATTGCCACTCTGGAAATGTGCATTGTTGCTCAATAATCAATGACAATTATATTTTTTTATATATACCAGGATATTGCACAGAAACACATGCATCTTGATAGTGGGAAAGTGGAAATATTACTGTATTTGTTTTTTTAAAGGAAAGCTTACTCATCACAAGTGTTGTTGGAAGCTCCATGGACATCACAAGCACATGGCTGGCAAGGTGATGAAGAATTGAGACGAAAGAAACTTTGAGCACACTGGTGGCATAGCTGACCTGTATATCCTTCCACACACTCACATGTTGTAGTCTTGTTTGTACAATTGGAGACGTTTATAGTGCCTTCCGAATCACAAATACAACCTATAATAAATGAATTAAAATATATTCTGAATAAACCTTTAAAGTGGTTAATTGTATTATAAAGCGCAAACTACGCCCATGCTTCCCCACCTAAACGCCAAATTATTAGAATGGTTGGGGTTACTGTGGGAAATCCTAACTTGTATTCCAAAGAAAAATGGAGTGGGGAATTAAATAATTATGACAGTTTATCTATTTTTAAATACAAATAGACATCAATTTTCTATTTCCCTATAATCATATATCATCTCTATAATAAAAGAAACAAGACAGAATTAAATAATGTTCAAAGAATGAATTTATATCAGCAAGGATATCATAACATTTAAAAATAATGATTTGTAAAGCGCAAACATCACCACCAAAATATAAAAAAGAACAACAGTAGAAAACAAGCAAGAATCACAGACATCACAACAAAATTTAATCAACTATGAAAATCAATAATTAAAAAAATATTTGTTAAAATCATTAATTATGATTAATTTAATTTGTATTTTTGTCATTATTGAAAGTTACATGTGTAAGTTAGGTTTATTGCAAATATAATTAAATTCGGCCCACACTAGAAATCATTATTTTATTACCTTAATACCTTCACATTTTTACCATAGTTATACCATCTTATTATTCTAAATACCAGCAAATATTCCTAATTTACATAAAAATATACCTTCAATAATTAATAACATTTATACCATTAACAGGTCAATTTTTACAAATTTAAAGTAAATGCAAAATCATTTGCATTTTAATATTGGTGTTTATATTACAATACTTATGGCCTGGGAATTCAACTTGTATCATTATTCAAATAGAAAAACTGTTTAAAATTATCCACAAAAATAGCTGATCACCTGTTTTGGTAATGGAAGGAATTCATGAATTTTTCACTAGATCAATTTTTGTTCCATCCATACCTACCAAATCTTTGGGAAAATTCTTCCATGGTAAATTAATTGTAAGCATGACCATGACATGGACATATTCCACTCAAAAATTACAAGAAGCCAATCATAGAATATAGTTCCAACATGGAACTATATTCAAGGAAAGACAAGTCTCCGATACCGAGCATCAATGCTCTGGAATGACATTCTAGTATTAATGTTTGAAACTAAATTACAAAAACTATAGATTAAGTTGATTTTCAAAACCTTTTATATCATATTCTATTTTTGTGCATTGAAATTTGTTTTTTTTACTTGTTTATAATTTTCTTCATTTTCTTGTAAATTTTAATTTACAGATGGCAAAGACAAGCCAAACCAGTCACCATCGCAAATATCTATCTTGTGTTATAAACACAGAGATAAATACCAACGTACTCGCGCGAATAAGCGCCCGGGTGCTTAAGATATTTTTTGCACTTTTTGAGGGTCGCTTTATTCAAACGGGGCGCTCATTCAAACAGAGTGGAAACTGATAGGGCGCTTTAGGGAATATATTAAAATCGAGGGGTTCTTTAAATGAGAACTTATTAAATCCAAGAGGCACTTTTTGAATGATATGATTTCGGGCATTTCCCATGCAGAAACTATCATCAAATCCTTTAAAAAAGTGTTGTTTTACATTGAAAATGAGGAAAATAACAGCATAGCATGATGAAATGTATAGATATATAAAAGTAAGTTTAGTCCAATAAAAATAGATTTTTGAAAATTTGACATTTCAACACGTTTTGGCCATTTTCTCTGAAACACGATTTGCGACAAGTTATTTTTCTCCATTTTGCACAAGAAAATTTGGTGTCTGATGTAAGGCATTGCCATTCTAGGCCTACAGTACTGTAAGTTCATTACAATATATTGAATCGATGCGGTTATTTTTTATTCAGTCTTTTGAATACCCTTTGAAAAATGAATAGCGAGACAGGCTTAATTGCAAGCATTGCAATTTAATATGTTAATTTTGGTCACAGGAGGAAAAAACATTTTAAAAAACCCACTTTTTTGTATCCACCCTTCCTATACAATTTTTAGCATTAAAGAGCAAACAAACAATTTATTTTTTTAGGCCTTGTATCAATTTAAAGGCAATACAGGATTAGTTACAATGCAAGACATAATTATAATTCTAATTCTTTCAGTTATAGCAGTAGTATCGATCTTCAACACACCAAAAATTATATTATACTGTACAAGGTTAATATTATTACCATAAACATGAAATTTGATTCAGCTGCCTTCATGATGGCTGAAACGTCTATCTATCGTCTTATCTGTACTGTATGTTAATACTGTATTGACAGATTCCTCCATTAGATAGCAATTAAAGTAATGAATATTTATGAGACACTATACCTACAAATTAATTTTTATTTCCCTTTGTTGTTTCAGCTCAGGGACCTTGTAAAGGAACATGCCCTTTGTCGTAGCTTTCCATTTCCCTCTTGGCACTGGGCCCTTGCCTTGGCCACCCCTCTCCTTAATGCCTTATCTTTAATGTATTGTCTTTATATTGAATGCACCTCAAAATCAAAGTGCCATTTACTGCCGAATGCCATTTTACCACCCCAAAATTTTGAAAACCCTGCTTGCTCGGACCTAGTTTTCCCCCTTTTTGTTTCGGACCTCTGTCGGACTAAAGTATTTTAATTGTGTGAATGATACCTCAAAAACTAGCTGAAATTTGCGTGGAAAATCACTAGGAAAATTGGTCCATAATTTGGTCAAAGCTGAATTTTCGGCAGAAATTAGGTCTTTTTTTTCTGAAATGTGCAGACGGAATTCTAGGGCTAATTTTTTCACGGAGGATATATTCCCTATGCAGGCCTTACTTTACAAAATCTGGTTAAAGTGAACAATTAAAACCTGAAAGCAAAGTAAAGATCGAAGCTGCTAATATTAGGCAAGTACTACCATGACATTATAAAATGGTAACAGCCTAAAGCCTACTACTACTACTAACTAACTAGACTAGGCTAATCTAGGCCTACTCACCTTTTGACATCGTCAATATTCTCAGTTTTTCTTTATTCAAAACAATATAAAAAACACATACATTTCATAAAATATAGCAGCTCAGTGATGCATCCACATCACAAGTTGAATTGCATTTCATGATAGCATCATTAGTTAGAAAATCGACTCCGTCAAACAAAAACAAAACATCAGAAAAAGAAAAAAGTGCGCCGCTGAAAGATTATAATAATTAATAAGCTTCACCAAATACGGTAAAGTACTGCTCGCATGGTGCACCAAATTACAAAGCTTTTCAGCAGATCAAGTATTATATTTGTGAACAACATTATGTCTATTACAAGCAATAAAGAAAACAATTTAGAAGTGGGGTTCAAAATAGTCTTAGCAAAGGAAATGCAAAGGTCTCGACGCCTGTGTACTACGCATGCGTTGTGTGGTTGGAAGTTCAAATTTTATTATGTAATTTATACCGTAATCTATAAAAAATGAAACCATGATGGTAGGCCTAAAGTACCGGTAGGCCTAAAGTACCGGTAGGCCTAAAGTACCGGTAGGCCTAAAGTACCGGTAGGCGATTTTTGAATTACCAAAACACACAGTAATTGCTGACAGAATGCCTGGGCCTAGTGTGGCTAGGTAGGACCACAGACCCGGTTTAACAGCACTAGGCCCTAGGGCCTAGGCCTACACACCCGAAACCATGGCTCCTCTAACATGTAAAATTCCTGGCCCTTTCGAGGGCTGTTACATCTACCCAAGTAAAATTTTAGGTACGTCCTGGCACTATGGGGACACAACTATGTGTATATCCCTGGCTCAGTCCCAGCTAATGCCCCGCTATTGCCCAGGTCCGGGGGAGCCGGGACTACAATTGACAAGTGCATAGGCCTAGGCCTAAACCTACAACAAACAACAGGGTACCCCATCATCATCAGCGTGTTCACTGAAACTGAATAAGTTTATTTTCAGCAGTAGTAGTGGTAGGTAATGAGTATTTGTTTGTCATGAAATTCTATTATATAGGTTGTCGGACCTGTCGAATAGCGTGTTTAGAGGATGATGGGAGTTGAAACCGTTCTATTTTTACTATGCATTTAGCCTAGGCCTAGCCTAGGCTGCTCCAATAGCCTAGGCCTTCTAAGCAAATTGGAGTGAAAAAGGTTCTCTCCTCTCACAGCTGTTCAGCCATGCGAGAAAAATAACAAATGAAGTGAAACAAAAACAGAGAGAGAGAGAGAGAGAGAGGCCTACCTTGACCCTGACATTTCACATAGATAAGTGCTACCAATATGTGACAAATCCACAAATAAAATCGCATCATTAGATATAACCATGTGTTTGTGTAGAAATTCTTAAACGATATATCTCAACGGAAATAATGTCTTCTAACGATGGATGACTAACGAAAAATGCTAGTTGTGAAATTTGCTCATTCTCAATTTCAGTTTTATGGATGCCAAAAGGCTAGTAATTGTCGGTTCTCTGGATACGGAGTCTAAAAATAATATTGGCTTACATTTTAACGTAGGTGGCGCGCTTTATATATATATATTTTCGCTTTCTTTCCCTTGAAAAGCCTCTAAAATAGACACATAGCCTCTATCGAGGTCTGTGATGAAGCCAGTGTGACCACTGCTTGGGATTTTTAATGCCACCTTGGGATCTTGGGATTTTTTGTTAACTTTTCATTAAATCTTGGGAATTTTAGAATGATATGGCATTTTTCATTTTATTTTTCAAAGAAGTGAATAGGCTATTATAATGGCCTTATAACACCACTGAGAGTTATGAATGAGGGATATATTCGTTCAAAATATAAGACCCATTGGAAGATTAGTACCGTACTTTTATTTCAATTATTTCTGATAAGGCTATTGTTTAAAACCATTTTCATCATTTCCAAAAATAATAATGAGCATATTTAAGTTAAATCTCTTGATATGTGTCCCATTGGCGGATACACTGTTTGCTTCAGCTGTACATAGGGCTGAAGTTGAGCAAAGAATTGCACCTAGATGCAGGAAATCTTGCAGCACAGTCTCATACTTGGCAAATGCCTTTCATTGTGTTTTAATTTGACAATTAAAAGTTCAATAAAATTCATCAAAAATACTTTATTCTTCCCACCAACTTACACCTCACGAAAAAAGAAGTTTAAAATCAATGCCAAGACAACTGCCCTGTCATTTTATGATAAATTTTAATTCATTTAAGACATTGATACCACCACCCTTCCTCCCGACCCCAGTGGCGCGAAGGTGAAGTTGTGGGGGGGGGGTGG